ATCTGTTCACCAGAACTTAGTTAATCACAGGAGGGGCTACTTAGTTACCAAATACTATTTTCTTTTGTAAATGAATAGACCGGGTCACAATGAATTTTCATTACAGTATCACTTTTAGTGTAAACTTTTTTGTATCCTACTCAAGGAAATGTTGCACCTTTATCGTTATTAAGAGAAAATATAACAGTTTACAGAAACTTATAATGGGGATAATTAATATGTGTCTGCACTAGAAATATGAATTTAAGCTTGTTATTCTAAATAAAAGTCATAGCAGATCTGCAACTGAAGAAGGAAGATTTCGGGTGATAAGAGTGCTGTTGCATACCAAAAATGTTTGCTGTGGATACTGTGTGCTAAGCAAGGGACTAATAAAGTCAGATTTATATTAAATAACAAATACAGTATCTCACAGTTGCTTTTTTCAATTCTTCTTGTCCGCTGGAACTTCTATTTCTTACCTAGGCAGCAGAAGTTTAATAGGTAGAGCCAGAATGTGTGCCATGCTGCTTAATTTTCAGATGTATTAGTCATAGTATTGCTGAATGAATGGTCACTGCAGTTCATAAGAAAATACAGGGAGCAACACAGTGTTACATGAAGGCTTCCATAAGTTCCCATTTTCAAAGTCATCAAAATTAATGGCATATACAATACGTACTTCCAAAATATCCTTTCCTAACAAGTGTTTGGAATGTCTATCTGTGTGAGATTTTTTACTTCCTACACCGCTGGTGGTGCTGGAGAGATCCAGGTTGTTGCGTTATTGTAAAATCTAAAACGATGAGCATGCTGACCCGCAATTGCAGCCTTTTAGTTTACTCTGCGTCTTGACTTAGACGTTGCGTAACCATGTCGTTGATTACAAAACACATATTTTATTGTACTTTTTCCCATAATTTGTAAAGTGAATTCTGTACTACGACAATGATTGTCTTACTCCACTTGTTTGTACAAAAAAACACATACCAAGACCATTATCTCAGGTTATAATCATGCCAAAATAATAATTTGCCTTAGATAAATATTGTCACTAGTTGACAAAACACTGTTGTTGTTTTTGTTTTGTTTTTGTTGTTTGTTTGTTTGTTTTAATATGTGTTAATTGTAGGTGTGATATTTCAATTGACAGCCACATTATGATCTTTGTTCTTTGGTACTTATAGTAGCCTCTTCCTCTCACATATCCCTTATGCTTCTTTTGTATCTGACCTTTCACTTCTGATGCCTCTTGCAAGCAAGCATTTGGTACGTTCCCATCTGTTTATTCTTTAATTTACTCTAATATCTCTTCACAGAGGCTCTGTTTCAATGTTTCATCTTGTTAGCATGGTTGCCTTTATTTTGTTCACAAACTCCTGTTGCTAAAATTGCAGCTGGTTCTTCAGGGGTATTTGAACAATTTAGTCATTAAAGTTGAAGGAGTTGTCCTAGATGTGCGTGTCTGTGGTTAAGATCACGCTTTGGAAAATATAACATCTCCCCCACATTTTCAACTTTACCATAAGGTATAAATTATTTTGAGTTCTTGTGCTAACAGAAAGCTTTAAGAAGAGAATTAGAAACCTCAAAGTGTTCTGGTACAATCAGCATCCAGAATGTATAAAGTTCAGTGCAGAAGCCTTCCACGCCTCCCTCCTTCTCTCAGCAAGTTATGATAATATGGTTTTCTACAGCACAATTTTTCTACTCTGTTAATTTTATCTCTTTCCTTTGTTTTTTTTCCTTATACTTTCTCTATACAGTCAGGAGTGAATTTTGCCATTTTTTAGTAGACTTCAATTTCTCTTTGTAAACCAATTTGGGAAGAGGAGAAAGGTATTCAGTTATGTTACTGTGTAGTTTACTGGGTTGCTTTTTGCAGATTATTTGAGATGACTCTGGTGTGTCTCATACATATTACAAAATGTCCTTTTTCCCAATAAAAACGTAGTAGAGATGTATTAATTTTTAATGAACACTTATGTGCAAACATACACGAGAATCTCAACAAAAATAAAAATATAGGCGTTTAAGTTTGTCCACTGTAGTGCATAAGAGAATCCCGTGGCCTTTAATGAAGAGTCATTTCTATTCCACATAAATGTTACTCAAACTTAGTTCCTTTCAAAATGTCATTTAGATTCTCAGAAGTATTTTGTTACTGGTTAACTTGCCTATCTGGAAGGAGTGACCAAATTGAGAATCAAAGATGGTGACAAACATGTGCAGGTGACTGGGTTATGCAGTATTCTAAAATCAACAGTCTAATAAATGCTTGCATCTCCTTTGTTCAGCAGCATGCATTTTCCAGAGCATGACTTCTTTTTGGTTTCTGCCCTCTGTCCTGCCTTCCTGCTGCCCCGACCCTGTCTCTTCTCCACCTTCAATAAAGCAAACTGAATTTTGAGTGGAATGTGATTATTGCATTTCTTTTATTCCTTATACAACGCAATAATACTTTAGTGGTTTTGGGGGGTTGTTTGTTTGTTTGTTTCTTACAAGTGAAGCTGTTACTCAGAATCTGGAGAGTAGAAATTGACAACTCAAATCCCACCTCTGACAAGACAGCAGAGTGAACTTCCGTTGTAGCAATCTCAACGAAAGCAGAATAGAGATGATAGCCTTCACCTTTGGTAGGATGGCTTTAAGTATTACATTAATATTACTTTTAATTATTTTAATAAATCCATGCAATGCGCAGCTCAGTGGTGGGAAAACGCAATGTTGGAAAAGCAGATAGTACAAGTTACTTTGTTGATTTGAAG